AGTCGGCCCCGACTCATAGCGACCCCTCCTTGGGTTTCCGAGGCAGTATCACTACGGAAGTAGGATTGCCCAACCTTCCTTCCGAGGAATGGCTGGTGGGTTTGAACCACCAGCCTTCTGGTGAGCAGTCAAGTGCCTTAGGTACTATGCTAAAAGGAGAACAATAATGGTGGCACAGCATGAAAAATGTCATCAGTGTCCCCAAGTTGTAAATGAGGAAATTGTTATGTTGGTAAATGTTTTGTGCATATGTTTTCACCACAAGAAAGTAAATTAAAATTTAAAAAATCTAAAGTGAGAGTAAAAGGTCTGTGTATATTAGTCACAGTCAGAATTGATCAGGGAATACCTTAGAATATGCTTTATAAAAAACACGAAATAGAGTTTAACGTTCAGGAAACAATTAGAAACATTGCTGAATTTGCAATTTTACAATATCTTAGCTATGCTTATAGAGATAGTTTTACAGTCACACATTTGAATAGTACTTCCACCCCTAATACTGGGCTCGAGATGCCCAAGATCATTGATTAGACAGAGATATGTTTGGTTATGCCTAAAAGGAAAAGACTGGAATTCAATTAGAAAATAATAGTGGGTTCACATGCAGAGAGACAAATGGCATGCAGCTGTCCTCACAGAACCAGGGAATGAACACTGAACTCCACTTTCTAAAGTCTTAGTGTTTTAGGATGTTTACTATCCTTGGATCAGAATGGACAATAAGTGTGATGGGCTAATGAGGAGCTTGGGACATTGAACCTCCAGGGATACAGAGACTGCAAATAGTCTGCCTGTGACATCTCACCTAAGCATCTTTCCCCTGTAGGGAGATAGAATACATGACTCTTTCTCAGAGATGACCCTTTGTACCCAGGAGCCTAGAGCTTCCTTCAGCTCCTCTGTCCTTCCTGAGAACATCCAGAGTAGATGTCAGGCACCGTTCCTCAGAGATGCCAGCCAGGTAACCTGAAGTCCACCAACTTATTTCTGGAAATGAAGACAGGTTTGCTACAATAGGTCCATCCAGTAGAACAATGCATGTGAAGAGAATACATGCAGGGAATGATTGAAAACAGGTCTTTCATTGGAACTTGATTGTCATTTTCTTGTCAGGTTTCCTAGAATCTTTACACAAATATAAAAAGTTATTCTGCCAGTCTCTTGCTCTGTCTCTACCATCTCAAGAATGGTTTTCCTGTTGAGCAAAAGTAACCTTGTCAAACCTATGACTATTATAAAATTTTCTGGCATTTACTTGCGTTTTTTTAGTGGTAGTGGTAGAGGAGGGTTTGTCAGCTTCATCTTATCTTCCTGGTACTTACTACATCTTTGTATTTTCACTACTTCCAAGCTCTGGTCTCTTGGGAAGGAAGTGAAGACCCAGAATGAGTCATTGGCCTGCCTGACGTGTCTATTCATAAAATTATTAAATATATCAAATGATCATAAAAATCCTGACAGTGTAACAAAGAAATAATCATCCCCGATTCTTTCCACAATAAATAAATGTTGACTTCTGTTAATCACCTTCAGGTCTTTTTTTCTTTTTTAAAAAAGTCAAACAATATGCATAGAAAGGTACCCCTTTTGTATTCCCATCAATTTCCCTGCTCCCTTTGCCCAAGATAAAGTCTTCCTCTGCTGCTGCTGCTACTGGTCCAGCAACCACACATTTGATGGTCCTGTTACCCTATGTTTCCATCAGATTCACCAACACTTTAGAACCCAGAAACCACACCAGTGTTTCAGAATTCCTTCTCCTGGGGCTGACAGAGGATCCAGAACTGCAGCTCCTCATCTTTAGCCTGTTCCTGACCCTGTACCTGGTCACTGTCCTTGGAAACCTGCTCATCGTCCTGGCTGTCAGCTCTGACTCCCATCTGCACACCCCCATGTACTTCTTTCTCTCCAATCTGTCCTTTACTGACATCTGTGTGAGCACAACCACCATCCCAAAGATGCTGGTGAACTTCCACACACAGAATCAGAGCATCACTTACATGGGCTGCCTCAGCCAGATTTTCTTTGTTGTTGTTTTTGCTGGTGTGGAAAATTTTCTTCTTGCAGCAATGGCCTATGATGGCTGTGTGGACATTTGTCACCCACTGAGGTACACTGTCATCATGAACCCCTCCTTCTGTGGCCTGTTGATTCCACTTTCCTTGTTTCTTAATGTGGTGGATGCCCTGCTCCATAGTCTGAGGGTTTTGCAGCTTTCCTTCTGCACAGACCTGGAAACCCTTCACTTCTTCTGTGAACTTGCTCAGGTCCTCAAGCTCGCCAGTTCTAGTACCCTCATCAATAACATCCTGTTATATTTTGTGGTTGGCATATATGGCGGTATTCCTCTTTCTGGGATCATATTCTCTTACACTCAGATTGTCTCCTCTGTTTTAAGAATACCATCAGCTGGTGGAAAGTATAAAACTTTTTCCACCTGTGGGTCTCACCTCTCAGTTGTTTCTTTATTGTACGGAACAAGCTTGGTCATGTATATCAGTTCTACATTTACACTGTCTTCCAAGAAGACAGAAATAGCCTCACTGATGTACATTGTGGTCCCTCAAATGATTAATCCTTTTATCTACAGCCTGAGGAACAGAGACATACAGCTAAGCTTGAGAAAAATCATTGGCAGGATACCTTTTTTTAAGTGATTATGTCATTTCTGGCAGTTCACTTATTATTAAAACCTGTCACTGGTAAACCGTCCCTGTGGGTCAGCATCACCATCAACTGCACTCAGTTTCATCATCTACAAAATGGAATAATTATATTTTCTCAGTGGTCCTAGATGATCGTGAGACATTTGAACATCATCAGTGAAGAAGTCTTTGTGCTCAGAATTAAAATTTTATCTTAAATAAATTAATTATATAAATTAAAAAATTATATCTTCCATGAGAAGGACTTCAGGGGTAGGAAATGTACTGGAGAAACAGGCAGTAATATTTCATTAGACCTACATGAGGTGGGTCATCCTTTACCTCTTGGAATCCTAATCACTGGCTGATGCAGATGTAATACTGCACATGATACCAAAGAGAAAACTTACTTTCCTACTTGGGCCTATTTTTAACAGACTTGTAAATGGAGTCATCAGAAGACATGTCTCCTATAGTGGGTTGAGTGCCTGCCCCCAAAATTGTATGTTTATGTTGTAATTCTTGGAACTTGTAAATGTTACTGAGATTATAAAATGTGAATGTTACCTTATTTGAACCAAGGGTCTTTGCAAAGGTGATTAGGGCTGGATTCTCCCATTACGCCTAATGGGAATCACATCCATGCTTATAACATAGACAGTGCAGGAGACACAGAAAAAAAAAAAAAAAAAAGTAGGAGGCAACATGACCACCGAGGGGAGATTGGAGTGATATGGCTAAAGGCCTAGGACTACCTGGAGCTTCCCGAAGCTGGAAGAGACAGTAAATGGATTCTCCTCTAGAGCCTTCAAAGGCAGTGCAACCTTCCTGGTTTCTGAGAACTACCATTCAAAACTGTGATATAGTAAGTTTCTCTTTTCTGGTCATTTATTTCTGGTAGCCAAAAGAAGCTAATGTTCTTTCCATCACCAATGACAATAGAATTGTACACCCCTTCTTAATCTAATTCCTGCCAGTGGGAATAATGATTACTATATGAACCTTCAACTGATCATCTGGAGTGTAATTCCATTAGGAAGTCAGCCCTAAGTACCACAAGCTCTTAAGACAATGCCTGCCACTTAATAAATACTCAATTAAACTTAATCATTGTGTTTCAATTCTAGGCACTATTCATAACTCATGCAATTCTTTTGCTAACATATATTTTTGCACTTGTTTCAGCAATTAAAACTTTCCCTCATAAAGAAATACTAAGAAGTTTTGGACCAGACACCTGAGACTATAGCCAATACTCTAAGACTCCAATGATTCCGTTACTTTTACTCACCCAGGTATCTCTGTGTTAATTCTATTAGAGAACAGTAAGAAGCCCAGCAAGACAAGGTGACTAAGGAAAAAAAGTAAAACTCACTCCAATCTTTTAAGCATGTCAATTAGAAGAAATAAAAAAATATAATAAACAAGAAAAAGATTACTGATTTGACCGTCCCTACCCAATAATTAACAACACATGGTGGCTGCGATGATGGGCTCAAGTATAGCAGGGATCATGGAGCTGGCACGGATCAGACAGTGTTTCGTTCTGCTGCGTATGGGGTCGCTATGAGTTGGAAACACCTCGACGGCACCTAACAACAACCCAATAATTATTCATTTGATTATATAACAGAGGCTAGAAAGAGCCTGTAATAGGTATCTATCTATCCTTCTGCTCTGTTCATCAAAGGGCGTAGAAACTCAGGGGAGGGGTCATGTTTAGCACCACTCCTGGAGGACAGGCACCCAAGGTATTTTCTAGTCCTCAGCTTCCTTCATTTATGTCCATAGAACTAGTGATGAGATGAGCTACCTCAGATCCCTGTTCATATGGCAAGTGTCTGGACCTCACCCAAGAACTAGGACCTTAGAATCTGTGGGCTACATATGAAGGATGGTCGTTTTTCACAACTTCTTTTTGAGATTCCAAAGTACTCAAGTCTGAGAAGCATGACTTTCATATTAGGAGACCATGGGAGAATATGTTTAGAATTTGGAATTAAAAAAAAAAAGTTTCCTTGATTTTACTCATTAAAATATACTAATTCATATGTAAAATGTGTCTGTAGTTCTCACAGAGCAGCAATATAATGGCAAAATGTATACCATCTCTAGGTTAAGAAATATAGCATCACTATCACCATAGCATCCACTTTAATGGTCTCCCAATCTCACCACACTCCTCACCTCCAGTGATAATTGCTATCCCGAATTCCCTACTTATCATTTCTTTGATATTCTTTTATTAGGTGAATCCTACTGAAATTATCAGCATTTGAGAATATTTGTCCTACAATTACGGGCATTTTCATAATAATTAATTGCATCTTTTTATCACTCAAGTGTATGTTGTTGTTGTTGTTATTTGCCGTCGACTCAGCCCTGACTCATAGCGACCCCTCCTTGGGCTTCCGAGGCAGTATCACTACGGAAGTAGGATTGCCCAACCTTCCTTCCGAGGAGTGGCTGCTGGGTTTGAACCGCCAGCCTTCTGGTGAGCAGTCAAGTGCCTTAGGCACTATGTTCAAGTGTATATCTCTCCATAATTTATTAAATAAATTTTATTCTTTTTGAACTTTTTGGAAGTTTAATCATTATACACACACATATGTACACACTGAGGTAAACTACACATAACATAAATTGTTGTTGTTGTTAGGTGCCGTTGAGTTGTCTCTGACTCATAACGAGTCTGTGTACAACAGAGTGAAGCATTGCCCAGTCCTGCACCAGTCTCAAAATCCTTGCTATACCTTAGCCCATTGTTGGAGCCACTTTGTCAATCCATCTCATTAAGGGTCTTCCCCTTTTTTGCTGACCGTCCACTTTACCAAGTATGGTATCCTTCTCCAAGGAATGGCCCCTTCTGATGACATGACCAAAGTTGCTGTTGTTGTTATGTGCCATCAAGTCGGACCCGACTTGTAGTGACCCCTCCTTGGGTTTCCAAAGCAGTATCACTATGGAAGTAGATTGGCCCATCTTCCTTCCGATGAGTGGCTGGTGGGTTTGAACTGCCAGGCTTCTGATTAGCAGTCAAGTGCCTTAGGCACTATGCTACATGACCAAAGTAGGTGAGACCAAGTCTGGTCATTCTCACTTCCAAGGAGCATTCCGGCTGCACTTCTTCCAGGACAGATTTACTCATTCTTTTGGCAGTCAATAGTACTTTCTGTATTCTCCGCCAACACCACAACTCAAAAGCATCAACTCTTCAGTTTTCATTATTCATTGTCCGGCTTCTACAGCATAAGTATATTCATAATGCACAACAATCACCACTATCTGGCTCCTAAACTTTTCAATACCCCAAAAGGAAATCTCAAACCTATTAATCAGTCACTCCCCAATCCTTTCTCTCTCCATTCCTAGAGGCTATTCATCTGCTTTCTGTCATGTTGTTGTAGCTGGGTGTTATTGAGTAATTTTCAACTCATAGCAACCCTATGTACATCAGAACTAAAGACTGCCTGGTCCTGTGCCACCCTCACAATCATTGCCATGATTGATCACATTGTTGCAGCTACTGAGTCAATCTACCTCATATATATACTCTTCCCCTTTTTCTCTAACGCTCTACTTTACCAGGCATGATATCTTCCTATAGGGAATGGTCCCAATCTGAATAGGTTTGCCTAATCAGATGTTCCATATATATGTAAAATTTTACAATATGGGACTTTTGTGTCTTGCATCTTTTACTGAACATGTTTTCAAGGCTCATTTACATAATAGTATCAATCAATACCTCATTCTTTTTATAGTTGAATAATACACCATTGCATGATTTTACCACATTTTATTTACTTGTTCATCTGTTGGTGGGCATTTGACTTGTTTTCACTTTTTAGCTATTATGAGTAATATTGCTACAAATATTTGCATACATTTTTTGTGTGAACTATGTTTTCACATCTCTTGGGTATATACCTAGGAGAGGAACTGCTATGTAAAATTGTAACTCTATACTTTTGAGAAACTGCTAGCTTATTTTTCAAAGTTGTTGAACCATTTTACGTACCCACAAGAATTTCATGAGGTCTCCAATTTCTATCAACCTTGCCAACATTTGTTCTTTTCAATTATTTATTATTGTTATTATTACTGTTAGCATTATAAGATCCTAGGTGGCACAAAGTTTGTACATGACTACTAACCAACAGGTTGGTCATTCAAACTCACCCAGTGGCACTGGGAAAGAAACTAACCTACTTCCATAAAGATTATAGCCAAGAAAACACTAAAGTGTAGTTCCCCTCCGTAATACACAGGATCACTGTGAGTCTAAATTGTGGAATTATTATTATTAGTAGTAGTAGTATTGTTGCCATCTAAGTGAGTGTGAAGGGGTAGCACATTGTAGTTTTGATTAGCATTTCTTTGATGATTAATCACGCTGAGTACTATTTCAGGTGTTTTGCCCATTTGTATATCTTCTTTGGAAAAACATCTACTCAAGTCTTTTTCTGATATTTTGTAGCTGAATTTTAAAAGTTCATGACATACTCTGGATATTAAACTTTTATCAGATAGGTGATTTATAAATAGTTTTCCCATGTTATGGATTGCCTTTTCACTCTTTTGATGATGTAATCGGATGTAAAACATGTTTGATGTTGATGATGTCCAATTTCACTACTTCATTTGTTACCTGTGGTTATTTAAGAAATACTTGAAGCACTTACTGATAAAGATTAAAGATCGCAGTCTACAATATGGATTATACCTCAATGCAAAGAAAACAAAAATCCTCACAATTGGACCAATAAGCAGCATCATGATAAATGGAGAAAAGACTGAAGTTGTCAAAGATTTTATGTTATTTGGATCCACAATCAACAACCATGGAAGCAATGGTCAAGAAATCAGACTTCATATTGCACTGGCAAATCCACTTCAAAAGACCTCTTTAAAGGGTTAAAGAGTGAAGATGTCCCTTTGAAGACTAAAGTGAGCTTAATTCAAGCCATTTTTTTTTCAATAGCCTCATATGCATGTGAAAGGTAGACAAT